ACGTTAAATAATATATATATATATATATATATATATATATATATATATATATATATATATATATATATATACATAAAGATAATGGTCAGAGTGAGTTGAATTAGACCAGGGAACCGTTCTATTTAAAAAGTGCTAAAGAGACATATAAAAAAATTAAAAAATTCACATGTAGAGCTTTTAAGTATAGAAAATTAGTAAATTAGGAATTTGAGTTCATGTAAAGTGGGATAAAAAGAACATATATATATATATTTCATTTAATTCCCCATCTATATTTATGGGTTAAAGTGCTCAATATCAGAGATAGAGCGTATGTAAATATAAAATTGGACATTGAAGTCAACAGAGGCAACAGTCTGTTTCATGCTTAAACACATGGTTTGACGATTGAGTTTAATCAGGAAACAGATTGTCACTTCTGGCTGTTGTATTCAGTGTCCACCATATATACATTATATACATACATTCATATATATATATATATATATATATCTTCACGCATCAATATATATATATATATATATATATATATATATATATATATATATTGATGCGTGAAGATATGATGCTTGAAAAATCTGACACCGCCCGGCGCGTGTAGACGTAACTCTCAAACACCACTAAAGTACAATGCATACTTATAGATAAACCCATATGGAGACACAGGAAATTATTTTGATTATAGCCGAAAGGGCCCAGAAGAATATATATATATATATATATATATATATATATATATATATATATATTGCGTGTGTATGTGTGTATAACAATGCGTGATATCAAGTAAAAATTTTTGCTTGATACGGTTATGGAATGACACGCAGTCGTATCTGATTTGGTACAGCTGTGCCTCGTAATGTTGAATGATCAAGGTGGGCATCTTAACTTTTTCAAAGTTATCCATCGACCCGACCTGCTTATGGTGCCAAACACCTTTGTCAGATCAGTGACAGTGATTTATATGAAGGGTGCTTAAAATGCCTCGGCCTAGCGAAGAAGAAGAACCTAAATCAATAAAAACTGCATGTTATTCCACATATTTTCCCCGCGGTTCGACACCCTCGGCACTTCGTTTCTAGAGCTTCTATAACCCTTCCAAAAACATCTTGATGTCTTGTCATTGAAATACTGATTTAGAGGGTAGAGGTGAGTCGATTAAAGAACTTTCTAGTACCTACATGTATTCGTATTTTTTCACAGTATTTTTCTTGGATATGTCGTAATACAAAAGCGTTTTAAAATTATTTACTGTAATGCGACATTGCCACTTAGGAAGATGATCTTTGGCAGCATGCAGTGTTAAACTGTTTAGCAGATTTCATGCGACGATTTTGTGTGTAAATGTGATCAAGTTGCTTATTCGGTAATTTGAACTGTTCGATTTTAACCCCTTGTATTCATTAATTTTATTTTTATTTTATTGTTTTGTTTTTTTCGTTTTTTTTTTTTTTTGGAAGAGGGTATGATGTCTACGTCTTTGAAGTTCTCGGATAGCTTGCCATGTTTTCAGATCTCGGAAAGGATATCATAAATCCATGCAGTACATAACATGTCTGCTGCTCAGCTAATTTTGCAACATTTCCATGTGTTGGTATCCGATCCAGTTGTGGTCTGGCTGTGTTTTACGAAATACAATCGATTGCTGCATCCTGAACCGCGAGAATGGTCGTGTCTAAGGAGTTACAGATAAAATCTTTGCAAAGGTGCGATACTAACCCGTCCTCACTATACAATATCATTCGGTCATGCATGCTCGAACATTTGTGAGTCTATCACGCAAAAAAATCACGGTCCTGCATCAATGTCGGAAGGTCATTAGGATGGCATCCTGTGTCATAACTGTTATGGTACCTACCTACATGGGAATGAACTCTTCCTCCTTTCATAGATACTAACTTGCGAGACTTCCGATGGGCAATCGACACGCAGTATCTGACTGTGCGACTTCTGTCGAACTCTCTGCTTTGGCAGAGAGGAAACCGGACGAGGCTTTAACGAAGGGTAAAGTTTCGTCCGGGAAGGTAGACAGATCCCTAACCCGCTTATGCGTCTTCTAAGGGAATATTTTTGGCCGAGTCTACGGGCTCGGAGAAACCCATGTTAAACTCGGCCTTGTGTCACATACATTCCTTGTTGGGGGACTGTTAAATAGAGCAGTCGACACGCAGTGTAACCTGACAGTTTGGACGAACACTTCTATCTGCTGACTAATCACACCCTTACTTTGCATATATCTATTATTTCAATACACTTGTTTAGCCTAACATTTTCTTCCCGTGTCTTTCTTTCTGGCCCCTGGCAGGCCACAACAATAACATAGCTGATCAATGTGATTCCGGGCGACCAACCCGTTTTGCTCCATGCCTAGGTACCCAGAGTAGTAGATCATTCCCGAGTTCTTGTTTTGCTTGTCTGCAGTGTCCGGCAAAACACATTCTGCGTACGCGTAAGATTGTAGTAATATCAGTGATGGTAGCATACAGTTGTGATTTAGTTAACATCAAGAGATGTTAAGAATAACTCTCAGAATCCGAGTGTAAGATCCATCAAGGTTAGACTTTAGAGTTTTAGTTAACGGACAGGTAGTAGCACAATACATTAACACCCCTTCTGCAGTGGATCGAAAGTATCTCCGTTTGAGGTTGTCTGGTAGATCCGACTGAATTTGACAGTCTCGTATATTTTTGAATTTCGAGTTGAAACAAGTTCTTCGGAAGATTAACAACATACACAGCATATACATTCGCACACATAAAAAACACACGAAGACCACAGCGTCACTGGCCAAAGCTGATCTCCCACCTGAACTAGATCTAACATCCCAGTGGGGGAAAACTAGCTTCTAACTTTCAATATATCAAAAACCAAGCTAGTAACTTTGTATCTTCACCGAGCTGACCCTAAATTATCACCGGTTATAATGAATGTACTCTCAAAGAAGCTCCTTGTTTATAGGCTCTGTTGGAGCTCAACCCGTGCCTCAAGTGGAACATATATACGATCCCTTGCTGAAGATGCGAGAAAAATGTTCTGCTAGTTTTACCACTCCAGAAAAGATATAGCCCCACCTGCCATTCTGTATTTTTATAAGAGCCAGATCAGACCTCAAATGGAGTACAGCTGCAATATCTGGGCTGGAGTTGTCCAATCTTCACATTCCATTCTCGACAGAGTCCAAAGGTGTTTTCACAGCATTATAGGCAGTGACTTGTTTTCCAACTTGCAGCTCTTTCCCTGCAGTGGCTGGCCTATCGCTATTTTCATAGAAAATGTTCTGATGAACCAGAGAATGCGCAATGTGTCAATGACTTACAGCCGCATCGCACTAAAACACACGTTCTCAAACGAACACCGAACTTAAGCAACGTCAATCCAGGTCAGTACTTAGATGAGTGACCTCTTAGGAATACCAAATGCTATAAGCTTCAATGAGCGGTTGGCGTAATGGATAATTGGAAATTGGAAAGTTCTCCTGAACTGGCTCTATTCTCTAAAGTTACAATTCCAGTTGGATTCTTATATTCATGTCTTTAGCCAGAGAACGCAAATAATCTTGGGAAACGGTAAGCAATGGATCCACTTCTTCTCCTCCAGCTGACGGATTAATTAGTAGATCAGTTAAAATCATTATTAACTCTCCCCACGGATTAATTAGTAGATCAGTAAAATCATTATTAACTCTCCCCACACAAAAACTCTTACAATCTAAAAATATTGTCTTGCTTTAAATAACCGGTAAAAGATTGATAAGCCATAAAAGCAAATCAATCAATTTTTTCCTTTCTTGTCCTTTTATAATGCTTTTTCTCTTTCATTTTCGTCATTATCTACTTTGTCGTCGTCTCCGTGTTCGCCATCGTCGTCGCTTCCTTTTTTTCAGTCGTCGCCAACGTCTTTTTTCTTCATTGCTTTCGTCGTCAATTTATTTTTTATCGTTTACTTTTGTTTTCATTATATATTTATTCATTATCGTCACTGTTGTCTTTCTATTTTCGCTAAATATTTATTTTTCATTTTCTGTTTTCTGCATTTTGTCTACAAATATTTGTGTAACTATAAGAAGTTGTATTTCTTATTTAATAAATAATATCCAATAAAACAACAGAAATAAAATGTCCGACTTTCCGGAATCTTGCGATTGGCTTTCTTTTTTCGTTTCTATTTTATTTTTATTTTTACATATTTGTTTATCATCTTAGATCATTTCCTTCCTTTTATTTACTTCCCCCGACCTAACTTCCATAGTTTTTAGACATAATGACTAATATAGTACAATGAAAGATCGTTTTCACCAAATTCTTTTGCGTGTAAGAATAATGCATATACATTTTTTTTTTATTTACTCATTTATATTCGATTTTATATCTTTGTGCTTAACTTATATCGTGTCTCTGGATATGAGATGATTTTCAATCATTTCTCTAACTTAATAGGCTTTACTCAGGCCAATATTTCACCATCATAATCATTTCAATAACCGGGCGGTCATAAGGTCTCTATGCAGCTGAGCGTCGAACATGATGCACACATGTATTTCCTTTCATAGTTTGCTTCTACGAGGACAGGCAGTTAATAATAAGCCAGAGTTCGGCAGTCGAACATTTCTAATTTTCCACTGATAGGATTCAGTTAATAATCTGAAACACGTTCAAAATTAAGCGCAAAGAACTTGAAAATTACCTGATTATACTCTTTCCAACTAAAAGGATAAGATAAGGTTCAGGACTAGAATTTTCCAGCAGTCCCTCCTATGTTGGATTCATTTCAGATTTAATGCTTATTTTTATTCTTATATCCATACATTCATGTTTATGCATTGAGGATTTGTATATCATTAAAAAATACTTTTTTATGAATTGCATAAATTCAAAAATATTGATTAAATCAACATTCCGAGACCAATTCAATTACCAGCTTTCTTTATAAACCAATTGATACATCATAGCAATGCATTTATTTTAGGTACTTTTAAACCTGAACAAACTCGGATACTTCTGCTAAGATTGATAGATAGATATGACTAAACATAGATAGATAGATAGATAGATAGATAGATAGATAGATAGATAGATATGAATAATAGATAGATAGATAGATAGATAGATAGATATGAATAAAGAGAGATAGAGTGAAACACAAATAGATCGATGGATAGATAGAGAGAAAGCAGGGGAGATAGATAGATAGATAGATAGATAGATAGATAGATAGATAGATAGATAGATAGATAGATAGATAGATAGATATGAATAGAGAGAGATAGAGTGAAACACAGATAGATCGATGGATAGATAGAGAGAAAGCAGAGGAGATAGATGAATGAATGCTGAACGAACGTTATTTTGGAAGGTTTATTTTCTTTTGTTTTTATGAATACAAATTATATCCTTCTCGTGCAACAGAGCTCGCAGCTCGAGACTCGTTGGAACAGCGAGAGAGAGAGAGAGAGAGAGAGAGAGAGAGAGACCTGTCCTCCTTTGTAACAGTCCGTCGTCCTGATTAGTTCTTTTATGGTTAAATGAGTGGATCAGCCTGTCCCGCTTTCTGGCGAAGGGTAAAGAGGACTGACCTCGCTTGTTTGCTAATACAATACTCAGAATTGTATTAATAATAATGATAATACTTCAGGATAATACCCAAGGTTTAATAATATATGTAACCATTTATATTGCATATAATTACACACTAAACAAGTAAATAAAGCCACTAAGACGCAAGAGGTTACTATGTGTTAGAGAATATGAGAAACATTATCAGAGGGAAAACATTACAAGAACAAAATTAAGAAGACAGAAGATAACAACACAGAAGATTAAAACACAGTTTATACAAATCCCTGGGCAATTTAATATAGATGAAATAAAACCGGTAAGGCAATGGCAATTTAGTCTTCTCTTCTTCAAAATACTACCCTCGGGAACTCACACATTTATCCCAGCATCTCTTCCATGTTCTTCAAAGTCAGTTTTCAGGATTGCCATCAGCAGCTTTCTTTGCGTTTTCTTTCATTTCGCGCATGGTCTGAAGTCTCTTCCCTTTCAACTGCGATTTTAGCTTTGGAAAATTCCAGATATTGTAGAGAATCAAATTAGAAGTGGATGCGTAACGGACTTGGATAATGCAATATTTGAACAAATTCTCTGCAAGAGACGTGAAGTATGGACAAGCACATTGTCATGACGAAGCTATTCGTCACCACTTGCCCACAGTTGCATCCTTCAACCGCCTTAAAAGTTTATTTAGATCTCCTCTGCAGGAACAATACCTGCACGATAATCACCCCCTCCCCAAAAAGTATTTATAGCTTTGATCTCGCTCCGACTTTTAACGCGTTTTCAAGTGCAGCCTGATGTAACTTCCAGTGCAAAAAACTTGACATTTCTTTCTGGAAAAAGAAACGTATACCAATGACCTATCTCCTATTATAAACATTTTGAAAAATATATATGGGGCACTTTTAGCGATTGCAAACAAGTCTTCTGCAACTTGAGCACGAAATTTCTTCGGTTTTTTTTTGGTTTTTTTTTTTTGGTTTTTTTTTTTTTGTTTTTTTTTTATTGATTTGTTCTTTACGGTTCATGTAAAACGTTAGCAAACTATTTAAAGTCAGAAACTATTGATAGATTAAAAGAATTTTTTTATTGCGATCATAATAATTTAGTGATAGAAGTCATACTAATTAACCCATAATTAGGGGGGAAAGAGGTGGATTCATACGTTTCTGGTACTGGAACTCGGCTTTCCCATTTCTAATTTCGAGTAATCCATTACACCACCCTCACGTCCAACCTTATCGCATCTAATGTTTCCAAGCGGTCACCCATCTAAGTACTGACCCTTGCTTAATTGCTGTGATCCTACGAGAACCGAGGCTTAACGTGACATGACTGTAAACCTTCTATTTCTGGGATTAAAGTCGCGGAACAAACTTTGCCAACATGTTTCAGCAAACTACATGAAACAATAATCTATGGCATCCCCAGATATTTCTCTAATTCTTCAACTGTAAACTAACAATTCTTTTATCCTGCACGCGTACTAAAAGATTAAAGGTCTTCAAGAAGTTGAATTGCTTCCAACGGATTTCTTATTTGAAGCGTTGATACCAAGATTTTATTTGGGCTTCGGTCACTGAATGCTTCTCGGGAAACCTTGTCAATGTCTGGATAGTTTTCACCGACGAATGTCTAAGCTTCAATCAAAACTTAATGCATATTCGCTGATGTCGCTCGGCCTTTGAAAACTGTTGCGGGGTACACAAGCTCACTCAATGTCGTCTCACTGACGACTAAACAATACCATCAAAAATTTTCCGTCGAAATCTCTGAAACAATATTCAGTGGAATCCCCGGCGTTATTTCTAATTCTTCAATTGCAAACTAACAATTTTCTTTGATGGCATCCCATCCGCGTGCAACATTTATGGATATCCTGCACATTTTAGGTCTTTCAAGTTGCATGCGAATCTGGTTCAAGTTTGAACCTTACGTGGCATTCTGATATATTCAAGCATGCGCAGTAAGGTTCCCTCTCACTAAATTCTATATAAAAATCAAGGCCACGCAACTGGTTTCCTGGATATTCAAAAGAGCTAATTACGCTCCGCGTAGATGTTATATAATAAATTTATCGGTCCGAGAATCCTAAAATAAATTCCGTTTAGTTTTTGTTGTTGCTTTTCTTTAATCAATTCACCCCAAGCAAGGCGATAATGCCTCTAAGACACATATGGCTAATGGAATTGAAAGAGATGAGAAAACTTTAGAACGAACTGGACATCCAATTCTAAACAAGAAACAAAAGCTAAACCTCTACTCCTGTTCAAGATACTCGTGAGGAGTGTGAATCGTGTGATAGGATAACCTATCTGATTAGATTTCTGAATGTTGGTCAGGCCGAGAACTTTTCATCATCTCTCATATTTATATCCATTCTTAGATAATTGTTCTTAACTTATTTTTTTCTTCCATTGTTTTTTTTTTTCTTAGGAATTGTGTTTATTATATAGTGTGATGAGATACTGTTTTCAATAATGTACATTTGTAATACAATTGCATATCATTTTTATTCAATAATCGTTACAGGCTCCTGCAATTGTTTTTTTCCTCCCATTGCTAAAATTATTATTACTAAAAAAAAAGTAATATTCGTCCCGATGATCTTTTCTGATATCTCTATTTTGGTTTGCTTTGGGAAATTGAATTTTTCCTCTGCTCTAACAAATATCAAGGGAAATGATGAAAATAACGGAAAAATCATTTTTCCAAGACTTCCCGCTTGAAAAATGTCTCTGTAGACAGATAAAGATTTCTTTTATTACTAATGGCGAACTAAAAAAGTAAATGCTTTCTTTTCGACAGACAAGAGAACATTTAAAATATTGAGAATAAATACCTCTATCAATAATGTAAAATTACCTCAAACATTTTAAATGTAATTTTGAACTAGCTTTGCGACGGCAAAAAATAACATTTTTAAAAATCTGTTCTCGATAGTCACTGAAGATCGGGTGTTACTATTACAAGCGATTATGCAGGGTGAAAGAGGTGGTAAGAAATGAAGATTTTATTTGTAATCAATTCACCCCAAGTAAAGCGATAATGCCACTAAGATGCAAAGGGTTACTGGGTGTGAAAGAGAATAAAAAATACTTTGAAAGGAGTTGGAAACCGAATTCTAAACAGGAAATAAGGAATAAACCTCTGCTTCTGTTCAAAAGACCGGAGATAAGTGTAATCCGGGCGATAGTTAAACGTATCTACTCCTAGATTGGTGATGCACTTATTACATTATTTAATCTATCCACTGAGCTCTCTCCATCTTTGGCTTCTCTCTTTTGGTACGAACACTATCGATACCGGCAGTAATACTCCGATCTACGCTTTCCGTAAGATTGATCCCCCGGTGGAAGAAGTTAAAATTGTAGTGTTTAAGAAGCATCTGCGCAGGAGTCTGTTCCACAGGGGAAAAAAATCTGAATGGAATTGTTTCCTTACATTTTGATATACAGAGGAAATAAAGGTGACCCGACACTGTACCCTAGCGTGTACTGGTAAAGTTTTAAGTTCTGGGTACTAAAGAATGGAGCTCATCTGGACATTTGCCACGGAAATATTGATAGAGTAGCGAGATGCTTGTAACGTGGCGCCTCTGGGGAACAGACTGCAGAGTACAGAATAGGTCTTTCCCAACAAGAGCGCGTAAACACTGGAGTTATAATATACTCTTTTGTTTCGAATTTTATTATGGAAAAAAATAGAGAATAAGGCGCTACTTAAGTAGGATTGTCCAGTTGTAAAAAATAGTGAATACATTTTCGGGTAATAATTTTTGTAGATCAGCATTCATTAGACATTCATCGAGCCATGACTTTTGTCATAATAGGATGATACTGATTTTTTATTGATTAAGAGGGTCTTTTTCATAATATCGAGTAAAAATCGCTCTGACTTTTTGCAGAGATATTCTCAGTAATCATTTTTAACTGAGCCTCGTATTGCAATTTCTTTGTTATTATTGCTTTTCTCTAGCACTCTGCATTACTGGTTCCCATATTGTATTCATTTCTATGCATGCTCGGTTTAAGAGATTTTTGTGGCTTAGCATATGTGTTGATTCCTTACGTTTTCGTATTTTCCACTGATTGTCTCTGTCTATTATTTCAACCTCATCCCACCGGACGCGGTGATCACACTTTTCCCTCAATATGTGGACAGCTACACCTGATTTTTCTATATCCCCTCGTGTTACGGCTTTACGATGTTCTTGCAGTCTTACCATAAGGGCCGGCCTGTAACTCCTTTATATTTCTTACCACAGCTGCACGAAATGGCGTACACACAGTCTTTAGTCATGTTCTCTTCTAGGCAGGGGTCTTACTCGGAAGAGGTGTTTGCGAAGTTTTGAACCATTTTGAAGGTCGTTCTGATGTTATACTGACCACAGACCTTTTGTATTTTTTTTCCGATAATCCCTTCACATAGGGTAGGCAGACCGAAGCTGTTTTCTGGCTACTGCAGTGATGAACAAAAACCTAGAGTTGAGTTAAAAGAAGATAACTGAGACACCTCCGCAAGAGGCATGGCACGTGGAGCTAGAACAATCTACCCCGGTGGACAAAATAAAGGATTCAGCTTCAAATTGCAATCACCTGAAGAAGGCCGGTGCGTGCAACGGCCGAAACGTCTTCCTCATGTCTTTTTGTTGTTTTTTTTATAATTTCCCGCTTTACCTCAAGCGAAATCATACGTTTCGGCTTTTCACCACCGCTCTTAATATTTACTTTCTTCGAACATATGGTGTCACTAAATGAATTTTGCAAAATAACAGCAAAAAAGACACAACACAACAGAGATCCTTCCCGAGCCAAGTAAAAACGTGTACCCGAAGTTTGGGGGTCGCTGCGCCAACTAAGGGATAATTAACTGAAACTCTCGTATCTCAGAATTCAGCTCGTATCTTAAGGTAAAATATCAACCCAACTCCAGCTCAAATGTCAAAAACTCCTATGTTGGTACACTCGTATTACTGTACAATATTTTGTATTTAATTTTATAAGAGCAAAAGCTTGGATTCAAAATTAAAATAAATATCTATATTTAATTTGTCAAGACAGGTACCGGTTTAACAATCACCAGTACACCCTCAACGTAGAGTATACTTGGGGTTATTCTGGGCTGGGCTGTTTTAACTTTTTTTGTCTTTTATGTGTCGTGTACTTCCAGAGCCTTCTACATCTCCTTGTCCCTTAAAGCTCTTTTTTTCTGTTTTTTTCTTTTTGTTATTTCTATCAAACCAGGTTCTACCATCCATTTACTCAAGCCTATCAACGATGTTACGCGCTACTTTCCTTTGTTCTTCTTTCCCTCCATCTCTCCTGTGAGTATCAAATTTTCCAAGCCCTCCTTCCTCATGACGTTCCCCATAAATTTCTACTGCTTCTTCCTGATGTTAAGTATGTTTCCTTTTTGCTTACATTTTCTCTAAAACTCCGTCGTTGCTCACATGTTCTGTCTATGGTATCCTAGGCATCTTTCTATAAAACCACATTTCTGTTGCTTCAAGTCTCTTCTTCATCTTCGAGGAGATTGTCTACGATTCGCTTCCATATAAGATGACAGATATTATGTAACAGTTCAGTACTCTTTTCTTCGTTTCTAACGAGGTTTTCTGTCTCGTAATACTTAGCTTCTGGTATGCATCTTTGGCCCTCCCAATGCGTCTTCGGATTTCAGTCGCACTTTCCGTTTTCTGTTAGAATAACTTCCCAGATATTTCAATTTCTGTATCAGTTTGATTTTAGAATCCACGATTTGTAATTTGCATTTCGGGCTCATCCTTTTGCTGATAAACATGCATTCTGTCTTGTTTATGTTTAGTCCTTTCTTATCGTTTTCTTTCGCAAACTTCTGTGAGAGGTTTTGTAGTTTCCTTCCAATGTCTGTGTATCATGTGCACATCTTATGCTGTTAAGATTGTGGCCGCCAGTGATAAATGTTGATAGGACTTCTAATTTTCTCGCTGTATAAGTTATAATTTATATACCTGAGTATGAGATATGGGCTGGAATATATCCAAGAAGCCAGAATATATTTGCTTTTTTTGCCATGTAATATGATGCGTATCATTGTGTTCACAGATTATAGTCATGGATATTATGATTTCCTGTGTGCTTTCTAAAGTCCTCTATATTATGCCGATTTGCAAATTACTCGGCCTAAATTCTGACTGCCTATTGATTTTGGTCCAAAGCTTTTTGGTATTAAAGCTTTCACATTTTCCATAACATTCTCCTTTTGAGAAAAATACATTTTCATACTACTAATAAAAGGAAGTAAAGACTAGCCGAGTGGGGAATAATTTAGGATACCTTAAGGTATGAAGTAGACTAAACGCAATCACAACACAGAGTCGGGGTATTCTAGGCTAGGCTAAACGATACCCAGCTACAGTCTGGGAGAGAGTTAATCTGGGCTGTTATACCGGCATACGAGTTGGTTGTATATATAAAGTGGATATATTCAGGTGAGAACGTTAGACAATCTCCTCTAAGATGAAGAAAAGACTCGAGGCAGCTGAGGTATGGTTCTACAGAAGAATGCTGAGGATACCATGGACCAAAACTGAGATCAAGATGAGGTTTTGGGGTAAATGCAAAGAAAAAGAAAACTCATACTTAACATCAAGAAGAGGCAGCTGAAATTTCTGGGATGCGTAATGAGAAAGGAAGGTTTGGAAAATCTGATACTCACAGGGTAGATAGAGGGAAAGATGGACAAGGGAAAGCAACGTGTGACATACTTAACGGGCTTAAGCACGTGGATGGCAGAACAGAGTGTGAGAAAAAAGCCAAGGCAAATTAAGAGCTACAACGGACAGAAGGAAATGGAGATCCATAATCACATACGTCCTGAAAGGACATCTCACATAATAGAAGAATAAAAAATCCCCAGTGGGGCTCAAAGCACTGTTGATCTATGAGTAATAACAACTGTGTATATTTTCCTAAGTTTGGCTTTCGTTTTTATATTTTTCTGACAGCTGTCATGTTTTCTTTTAACAGACAGACCGCCAAGATCGTTCGACATTGCTACGCCATGCATGTCATATACGTATAATGTGTCCATTTCTCTTTGGAAATTCTGATATTTTAAGGTCGCGTTATCCAATATTCACCGAATATAAGGCCCAACAACCACTCAAGGTAGACGGTTACAGTGTGGAGTTATATTAGCGTATCAAAGGACAAACGTTAGGAGTATAGCGCTGAAGTAGACTTTAGAAAAAAACGGAAGCCAAATCCTAGACATGAAACAAAGGATAAACCTCTATTCCTATTTAAAAGACCAGGAAGGAGTGTCAACCGTACGATAGCAGTGCGAACATTATCGCCAGGATCATAAACTGTGTTTGATTATACTGATTGTGCTATACAATTGATATCGATTTAAAAATGAGGTTACACTTGATTATCATTAAGTTCTTATCTTGTCATCCAAAGACATACAGGCTTACAAAAAAGAATAGTTTGACATGAATGAATAGAGACGTGACTCATGTCAGATATACTGTCTAGTGTTCGCCTCCTTTCCCTTTGTACAATTCGGTTTACTTCATATCCGTGTTCGCCTTTCTCTATTTGTAATAAAATAGTCGACAGACTCCATTACAATATGATATAGTGACCAAGACCTGATATGTCATCAGATATTTCTATAATTATCCCTAACAAGCTGATGATATTTGGTCATATCAACGAAAACTCGTTACCACTTTTGTCATGTCAACGAACACTCGTTGTCACTTTCGTAATGCTCATTGTAGTAGAGACTTTGTAATTGCATATATAACTATAGTAACGCCGTTGAACAATACTGATGTCAAACGCCTTCGAATAACACTCGCACTAATAGTACTTGCTCGATAATTCTCGCTCGAAAAATAAACACCGAATAGTGATACGAATAGTAATCCTTATAGTGAGATATTCCCTAACCGCCCTACTAGTACTAGTTCCCATATTGTATTCATACTTGGCCGGCTTATATTTTTTCAGTTTAACATATGTGCTAATTCCTTGAGTTTTCATATTTTCCAGTGATATTCTCTATCTATTATTTCAACTTCATTCCACAGAGGGCAATGATCTCCCTTTTCTCTCCATATGTGGTCAGCCATGTATGATTTATCTATTTCTCTTCGTGTTACGGCCTTACGGTATTCCTGTAGTCTTATCTTAAGGGGTCAGCATGTTTCTCCGTTATGTTTCTGGACTAAATAAATTCCAACAAATATCAGCTGAAGAAGGCCGGAACATTCAACAGCAAAACGTCGTAAATGTAACAGTAAAGATGAGGGCAACAGTCCGAACAAGGTGTAAATAGTTACGATACCTCATCTGAGAAATATAGATAGATGTAGATGAGTATTTGTTTGTTTCTTTAAAACAATGGAACATAAAAACTAACAAAGAATTCAATCTATAATTCACCAAGAGTATTTTTTGAATGTTATCACATAACTTAAAGACGTCTATCAAATTTACTCCGGTCATTAATGAGAGCGCAGGGCATATTAGTTTTGAAAATTCGAAAATTATTTCAGTTTTTATTGAGTGGTTCGATTTATAATGCTAAACTGTCCGTATGTTTAGCAAAACTGATTCTTTGTTTTTATTTAATTGTATAAACTATTATCCAAGAGATCGTGATAGTGGCCATTCTTAAATGAAATGCGATTAAGTAAATACATTGTTCAAAATCATGGTTATTTGTTGCATAGAGCTCAAAAACCAACACACCTTCTCACTATCTATCTCACTTCCTCCCTCTCACACTCTCGCTCTCTCGCTCTCTCACACACACAAACTCTCTCTATCTCACTCGCTCACTCTCACACTCTCGTTCTCACAGAATCTCACGTTCTCTTACATACACACTCACTCTATCCTTCTCACTCGCTCTCTCACTCTCACATTTCGCTCTCTCACAAAATTCACTCCTATTTCTCTCACTCCCTCTCTCTCGTTCTCACGCTCTCTCTCTCTCTCTCTCTCGCTCACACACTCACTCTCTCTCTCTTGCTCACACACACACACTCTCTGTCTCTCTCTCGCTCACACGCACACTCACTCTCTCTCTCTCTCCCTCACGCACACACACACACACAAGCAGAGATTTTAAGACAGATATTCATAAGAATAAATTCTGCTTTATAGTTATCGATATTCCGTTGAAAGGGTGAATTCAAACTGTTTTATAAATTAACTTTCTTAGAACGTTTCATATTGGTACGTCATCTTTAGTAACAATGGAGTTCATATTTCCGGCCACCCTGTCATTTTTTTCTCATGTTTATTATATTAGTCAACATCATCTTCGTATAATTAGTATCTTCTCCAGTCGGACCGATTGCTCCGTGTTAGGTTTACTTATTTAATTACTTATTTTTATCACTGAAAATCTTGGTGAAATAACAAGAAACTTGAGATATATACGCTTTATAGATAGATAGATAGATAGATAGATAGATAGAACCTGATTGAGATAGAGAGGTAGACTGAGAAATATCTGTTCGAAATATATCCAGCCAGTTACGATGAAAGCAAGAATAACCTTCCGAAACAATGACGCCTTTGTTCACTTCAAAAAATTCCTATTGAGACCTCACACATTTATCCATCCCTTTTTTTTTTTAATTTTATACAGTATGCAAATTTCTGTTCAGTGATTGCCATCAGCTGCCTCCCCCACCCGCGTTCTCATTATTCTCGTGCACGGAATATCTGCCCTGTAAGGTTAGCAAGATGAAGCACTTGGGTGATACGAAGTTGCAAAAGAATGAATGAGGAATTTACTGCAAATGTCTCACAATACAAAGAGCTCATGAGCACTGACTAATGTTTATTTTTTTTCAATTTTCTCTACCAAGTATTCCAAAAAGTGGGACTCAAGATAAACTTTTCGAAACCGAAACTATAATCGGGAATTAGAATGAAAGCAGTGATGGCACCTGCATTGAATCCATAATAAAAATTCAGATTGTAGAATTAATAAATAACGAACACTTCCAATACCTCGCTGTATGGATCAGTTAATGGATAAATTTAGTATAGGGGATAAATAAATTGAACACAGAATAGGCCGTTCTAGAGATAGATTTGTCCAACACCTCCTAAAGATTCTTAAAAAAAATTAACCTCAGAACTGGAGTAATGTTCTTAAATAGCCACGTTAGATCTAGACGCTTCTATTGACGACATGTCTGGCGCCTAGATTCAGAAATGTTTAAATGTCAGTTGTATACAACCGTTTTCTCAGATCAATGTTTTAAATGACTTCCACTGAATAAACTCTGCAGTCTTGAGAAATATAATCTTCATTGAATCTCGTTACCTAGTGCTACATGATCATAAAAAGGACTATACCAAATAGCAGAAAACGCAACCCTTGAAGAGTTTGAACAGCAGCAACAACAATATTGGATAGCACATGTAAATGGAACACAAAAGAATGACCTAATGAAGCTATTCACTTTCCACACGACTTTAAACAAAAGGTCAGGAAGGAAACCCCCATCAATAAAAGACGGCGCGATAAAAGTAGACTTGAGAAACGTATTTTCCTAAAACCATTTTCTGTCTGAATTTCCGGGATGAGGAGTTATTATTATCTACACTATTTATATTCGGACGATTATCTTCATCTTTGTTGTTATCAAAACGTTTCAGCAGTTTTACCCTTCATCAGGTGTATATGGATGTGGACAATGAACAGGGCATTGAACTGAACCCTTTATTTATCCAACAGGGATAAACTGTTCCATTGTCTATGACTAGGGATATCATTTAGTAGTAAAAATAAGAACTAGACGATATCCTTAGACATGTGTAGTGGAACGGGAACACTCTACACCCGTAGGTTAAGTAAAGAATTCCCTGTAGGTTACTACAGTCGATAAGCACCTGATGAATGCCGGGGGCCCCAACAACCGAAATGTTGTGGTAACAAGCAGAGGACAATCGTGTGAATATATATACTAAGAACGATTTTATAAAAATTTTGCAAATAGTAGCGCTGTTCTGTCGATGAAAGTCGAATGTTTCCTTATAAGGAAACAGTTAATCTTACCATTGTGGCTATCATTTTATTGCTTCTCTTTATTGCCTACTTGCATCAAGACCGCGCAAAAATTTCTGGAGATTATCAAAATGGTTGGATACCTTCTAACAGATCTTGTATATAGATAGAAAGATAAATACATAGAAAGAAAGAAAGAAAGAAAGAAAGAAAGAAAGAAAGAAAGAGAAGCGTGGGGAGGGTAGAATTTTTCCATCCCCAAAACAAACATTTATGAATTGCATTAGTAATAGAATCTGACGTTACAAAATGTAATTCAATAACGCGTTTAAACAAAGATGAATGACACGGTAAATAAAACAGACTGCTTGCTCCTGTCAATGTTTTTATTACTATTTTCTTTTCAGTAAATATTTGTTTATTTTATTGCAGAAACGATGACAACTAATAAAAGTGATAACAACTTCTCTGTTGTCGTTTTAGAGTTGACGTGGAATTTCAATTGAGAATTACGTCATTAAGGTTTATCATTTTATTTTCTCGTAAGAAACAAATATTATTTAATGTTTTTGTCATTATATCGAATAATGTTAATTTATGTTTAGTAAAATAACAAATTGTGTGATAAACAAATAATTTAACTTGGTTAAAAGCGTGAAATACAAATTAATTTTTATTGAAATAAAAAATGTACTGAACTGTTCTTTATTCTTGCTTTTCTGCTTTATTTTATAGACGTAAAATAAATATTAAGAGAACTTTATGCTTATCAACTCATAACGAAAGAAAATCGGCAATACGGATTAGATTGAGTTGTTTTATAGAGCTTATCAATCTTTGCCGGTTATACAGCATCCAACTAAATCACAGCTCTATGGGCCTATCCCTGATATTTCTAGAATCTTCATTGAACGCAGAATGCGCTTTGCTGGCGGGTAAAAACAAGAACTTACGAGTGATAAAATGCTCATGGCACCTAGCCATGGCGCAAGATGGCTTGGTCGCCCAGCAGTCACCTACATTGACCAGTTATGACACAGAATGTTACCCTAATAACCTTCCGACCTTGATACAGGGCCGTGATGGTTAGCGTGATACACTCATGAATGTTCGACCGATTAATAAATAAAGCCAGAAAATATTTTTAGAAAGAAATTAAGACTTTTTTTGAGACAGTATAATTTAGTGATTGGAAATTACTAATTAATCCATAGCTGTGGGAGAATAGGTGAATTTATACCTTTCCCAATGGTATTTGCGCGTAAGTGAATATAACGAAACCAACGGAAATTGAAACTCAGCTCTCCGATAAACAAATCCGAGCCATTATCCATTACACCACCCGCACATCCAAGCTTACAGCACCTGATATCCCCAAGCGGTCACCCATCGAGTTACCAACCAGGCTCGTTATAACAAAAGGGAATGGACGATACGAGTTCAAATGCTTGTTAAAACAGTTTCTTTTACTTCTACAATAGTTTGCTGAAAAGGTGTGAATCTAAAATTTACTTGTACTCACTTTCATCATCAAATGCCATTGACACAAAGACACAGTACATAACGGATAAGTTATGAACGACACAAGTCAAGGTCAAGAGTACTCTTGGAAAATAAGAAACATTTGCTTCTTTCAAATCGGCCTTCATCTTATTCGGGATGATCATAATTGTAAATAATAAAAAGTTAACCTGATCGCAGAACTAAACGAGAAAAGGAAATAAGTAAAAACAGCGGAAAAATACCCAAACCTTTAACGAGAGCTGAAAAAAATGGAACATGAAATATAATTCCTGTTGGAATTTTTTAAATGAGTATTTATCATTATTATCTTCTTTCCTATTCGGACCATCATGTTCATTTTCGTTGTTATACACACAACGTTTCAATTGTTGCAACCTCTGCCCTTCTTCAGATGTCTGTCTTCGTGCACTTGAAGAAAGCTAAAGTATACAACAGGTGAAACTTTGGGAGTATAACAACAAAGATGGTCCGAACAGCATATATACTAATGAAGACGATGGGTAGCGTATTTAGAATTGCAACAAAAAAATAAAGAATCGACTTTAAAAATATTAAACTTCAAAAAAGAATTGAGACAGTCCAGGCGACAACAATTCTGAAGTCTTTAATTATACTGGGAAAGATGTAAGAGATTTGGGGAGATTTTCTATCGCCCAGTCTTCACCGTTAATAAACAAACACCTGGTATTAACATGAAAAAGTATGTCATGTAATAATAATAATAATAATAATAATAATAATAATAATAATAATGGTAGTAAAGAGAATATCCGTTTCTATACAGAAAATATTCAGCATTCATTAACTGAAGAGTTAGCGTCACTGACAGGTGAAATTTATAAAAAAAATTCACTTAAAACATTTTTTAATAGGCTTTTAAGTCTTCTGTTATCGTCGTTTCTGTACTGATTGAAGTTTTCTTAATCTTTTGTTTAAAGTGGCGTGGAAAGCCAATATCCTAATTATAACTTTATTTTCCCTTCTCTGTATATGTGCTATCTATTTTAGTTGTTACTGCTGTTGAAGGTCTTCAAATGATATGGGTTTTGTTATTTGGTAAAGTTCTTTTATTTATTCTGTGATGCCAGTCTGTTAATATCCAATGAAGGATTATCATCTATAAGCGGATTCATTCGCTTGTATCCGTTTTTAATCATTTGGCTGAGAAAACCGTTGTATATAACTGACAGTTTAAACATTTCTGAACGAGTTGGACGCAATGCATGGCATATGAGATTCTAAATCTGACTAGACTATTTAAGAGCATTACTCGAGTTCTTAGGTTAATATGATATGCGGTGATAAAGCCGAGATTCGAATCATATAATAAACGAATTCTATAAATTGGCTTAGAAAGGGTAGAATATAGGTATGACAAGGTTGGAAGACTCATCCATTGGAAAATATGCAACTGGCTGGGATTTGAACATATGAATCAATGGTATAAACACAAACCAGAATATTTCTTAGAGAAAAAAATATATATAAATTTCTTTGTGGCCTTGAGATACAAACGGATTACCTAATTCCGAACAAAAGACTGAATCTAGTTTTCGTCAGCAAAAAAAAACAAAAGAAAAAGATACCTGATTGTGGGTGCCGTTCTTCCAACAGATCACAAAGTAAAATTTAAAAGAAAAGTGAGACAAGTATCTAAACATTCTTCTTCATCTATGTTTTGTGTCCTTTCAGAACGTCAGTGAATATGGCTCTCCACAACTTCCTTTCCTTTGTAGTTCAGAGCAATGCTTGTCCTTTTACTATTATTCCTACTTACTGTTCTGATATCCATTTAGACAAGCTCGTTAAACAGGTTACTTGCTTTTTCCCTCTGTCCCTCTTGCCTTCAATATGTCCTAGGGGTGTCAAATTCTCCAAGCTTTCTTTCCTCATTAGGTCTCCTAGAATTTTTTCTGTCTCTTTCTGATTTTAAATATAATATTCCTTTCGTTTCCACTTTCCTTAAGATGTCCTCGTTACTTACATACCCCATCCATGGTATTACCAGCATATTTTTTATCTCCGTTGCCCCAAGTCATCTCTTCGTCTGTGAGGAAATTGTCCAGTATTCACTGCTATATAGAACGACTGATATTGCATAGCAGTTCGCCACGCTTTTTTTCTATTTTTATCTGTTTCTTAATATTTTATTTAGCTTTTGGAAGATATCTATCGCTATTCAAATGCGCCCTCCGATTTCGATGTCATCGGTTAAGACACTACCCAGATAATTAAACTTCTATATTTGATTAGGTTTGACACCTCCAGTTTTTAGCTTACATCCGGGGCTGTTCCTCTTGTTCTTTTCTTCTCGCCTTCCACTACAACCTTGTCTAAAAGTTTCTGCCGTTTTCTTTCTGTCTGTCATCAACACGGTATCACCTGCAAACTCCTCCTGATATCCTCTACCTTTAGAAGAGCTAGATGAGGCAAAAATAGAGCACTGTTATCATATTTGGACAGGAGCTACCAAGACTTCATTCTCCAGCCTTAATAGAGTTTAAAATCGACTCTGAGCCCTTGTGGATGACGAATTATTCTCCACTCTTCAACCCCTCTCCTACAGGCGACGTGTGGTATGCCTCTAGCTGTTCTACCGCTACTTCCATTTATTCCCTGGAACCGACAAGGAAAACCTTCATAGCAAGAACATGCCATGCCATGCCACTTACATATTATCAAACCACCCACATTCCCTCTGTATTCCATCGGTGAGAAGTAAGTTCCACTCGAGCAGCTTCTTCCCGCGAACCACTGCCCTATGGAATCGACCCTTTTTCCTCGATCATTACAATCTTAACCTATTCAAGGCTAGATTAAATCGTTATCTCTCTCAACTATACACACAAATGGCCTCCTAACGTAACCAAGAGTGGGACCCGGACCTTGTAAAGTGTGACCTTTAATGTGAAAAAAAATTGCTAAGATTCTGCAAACCAATAAAAATTCTTGATATGACTTTTGATTTTCTTACATTGCCTTCGGATTGAATCCCATGATGGGACAAATAAGCCTTTCTGTTTTCGTGCGCTTTCTCAGTTTATTTTCTATCCATATCTAGGTGTTTTGCTCCTAGTATAATTCCTAGATTACTCTAATATCGTTCCAAAATAAGTTTTATTAGAAGCTCAAATAGATTTTTGTTTCCTTGAAACATAGTTATTTCTTTATATTTATATTTCTTTATTGTTCTCTCTGATGTCATTCTAATCATAAATATCGCATTACTTATCCCCGTGCATTTAACAAAACCACACTGTTGATCGTTTGATGAAGATCGAGATCAACCAGATAAGCATGGATAAGTAGCTCATTAAGCTGATCGTTTGATGGAGTTCGATATCAACCGGATAAGCTTGGATATGTGGTTCATTAAGCCGATCGTTTGATGGAGATCGATATCAACCGGATAAGCTTGGATATGTGGTTCATTAAGCTGATCGTTTGATGGAGTTCGGGATCAAGCGGATAAGCTTGGATATGTGGTTCATTAAGCCGATCGTTTGATGGAGATCGATATCAACCGGATAAGCTTGATATGGTTTGATCGTTTGATGGAGTTCGGGATCAAGCGGATAAGCTTGGATATGTGGTTCATTAAGCCGATCGTTTGATGGAGTTCGATATCAACCGGATAAGCTTGGATATGTGGTTCATTAAGCTGATCGTTTGATGGAGTTCGAGATAAACCGGATAAGCTTGGATATGTCGCTCATTAAGCCGATCGTTTGATGAAGTTCAAAGTCAACCGAATAAGCTT